CACACATGTTGAAGCGAATCGCCTGCTGCAATTGGCAAAAGGCCTCCGCCCGGAAATGCTTGGGAAACGACGCCTCCACTGCCACCACCTTCTCATACTGCAGCATGATGACCTTGTCGTCCCCCGTGCCCGTCTCAACGATCTTGGCTTCTTCATCTTCTGCCCGCACCAACACAGTGACATAGCTGGGAAAGATTGCCGCGGCTCGCAGCTTGGTACCGAAGCCAGAGAACAACAGGTCCTCATGAGGGCAAGCGATCGGAAACACCATTCCCGTCGCCCTCTGATTCTCCACTCGAACTACCTTCTTGATCATCGGACGCTGTGCATCCGAATACCTCTGGCAGAGAGCGTGCTGTGCGGCGAGCACCTGAAACTGACACTCGGGCAAATTCTCCTGATCCGTCTCCTGCGACTGGAGGACTCCCTGCGCAGCAGCAGGCAAGTTGGATCTGCCGCCGCCTGGCTTGCGGCCATTGGTAGCCAAGCGGACGTCCACTGGATGACAAAAGCACACGGCCTGCGGACCACGCTTCGTCAAGAGGGCGACCAGATCTTCCTTGCTCTTGGCATTTGCCAGCAACCGCAACCTGTCCCCATCCACCAAGACTCTGTCAACTTCACCGGTGTGATCTGCCAAAGTCACTGTGGCCAAGATGGATACCTCTTCCTCTCGAATCGTTTGGCAGTTGTGACTTTCATGACGTTTGCAATGCCCGGTCATCAAATCAACCTTCGTCGCGCAATTCTTGCATGCCGTGTAGATGGGATCCCCCAAGATGCCTGTGACCCAAACGCAGTTCAACTGCACTTCGATGATCTCTTGCTGTGCCTGACAACAGATAATGATAAAGAAAGGGAAAACACAACAAGCAATCAACAAAGAAAGACTCCCAATCACACGGACTAAGCGTGTTCATTACAAGCTAGTTCAGCGCGACACAGCGGCCTCTAACATCGCATCCGTAAGCGCCAGAGAGCACGAAGATACAGTGGCGCAGCACGAAATGAACTTCTCCATGCCATCCGACACCATTCGACGTGAAGCAGTCTGGAGCCAAGGCACGGACAGCGCCTCACCCCGCGTGTCGGACAAAGCCTTCAGTTTCTCGACACGACTGCCTGTGGGATTGACATGCAAAGCACTGAACCAATTCCTGCTGCTATCCATCCAGTGCTCACAGCTCGCCTCGATGCCGGCAGGGATCTTCGACAACAAAGCATTGTCTATCAAAACTCAGCTGCTGCTTCCCGAACAACGTCTATCAAAGAATGGCAAACATGCAAACAATACACATGCTATATATAAATACATCAACCGCACTGCGAAACCAGCATCAGATCATTTTCATTGTCAAAAACCATGCGGTCCGATCATCACTTGTTTCACGAACATTCAGCGTACATATGGGAATAAGAATGTTCACTCTGTGCACAAAACAATCATCATGGACATGTCCACAAAAGAACTGAGAATGCCACTCATGAGTTTGACATGGCAAAGAACCACTGTCGCAGAGTCCTGCAAACTGAAGGCTGAACGTGTCAACAGTGAAGCTTACAATGAACCCATCAAATCATCAAACCACATGTTATTCATTTGCATATAAGGTCCCGACTTAAAAATGGCGGCATGTCAGGATCGGCCCGAATAGTATTTTTTGTCCACTGCTCATGCATTTCAATGAAAACATTACATATATTTTTTTCGTGCTATACATCACATAGATCCACTGCATCGTAAACAAACACTGACATTGTCACAATGCAATTCTCGAGATCTCAGGGACAGCCCCCACAGAAACCTCGAGAAGTCCAAGAAATGTTCAAGATACCTGTTTGCCAATCGTCACTTGTTTCACGAACATTCAGCGTACATATAAGAATATGGATGTTCACTCTGTACACAATGCATCTTGTCTCTACGTTCACATCTGAGCCAAGGAAAGAGGTAAAGAGGTAAACTATGCTTGTCGGTGCAGAGTTGCACAATCCACTGCAAAGGATTTGTTCGCTGCGTTCCAAACTGAGAATGCCATCACACACAGACGCTCCTACACGCAGATGCTTATTACACACGCACACACGCTTTCACACACAAACGCTTTTACACACAGACGCTTTTACACACAGACGCTTTTACACACAGACGCTTTTACACACAGACGCTTTTTACACACAGAAGCTTTTACACACAGACGCTTTTACACACAGAGACTTTTACACACAGACGCTTTTACACACAAGCGCTTTTACACACGGACGCTTTTACACACAGACGCTTTTACACACAGACGCTTTGACACACAGACCCGTTTACACACAGAGGCTTTTACACACAGAAGCTTTTACACACAGACGCTTTTACACACAGACGCTTTTACACACAGACGCTTTTACACACAGAAGCTTTTACACACAGGCGCTTTTACACACAGACGCTTTTACACACAAACGCTTGTGCGCTTTTACACACAGACGCTTTTACACACAGACGCTTTTACACACAGAAGCTTTTACACACAGACTCCTTTACACACAGAGGCTTTTACACACAGAAGCTTTTACACACAGGCGCTTTTACACACAGAAGCTTTTACACACAGAAGCTTTTACCCACAGAACTTTTTACACACAACACTTTCACACACAGAGGCTTTTACACACAGAAGCTTTTACACACAGGCGCTTTTACACACAGACGCTTTTACACACAGACGCTTTTACACACAGAAGCTTTTACACACAGGCGCTTTTACAAACAGACGCTTTTACACACAAACGCTTTTGCACTTTTACACACAGACGCTTTTACACACAGACGCTTTTACACACAGAAGCTTTTACACACAGGCGCTTTTACACACAGAGGCTTTTACACACAAACGCTTTTACACACAGAAGCTTTTACACACAGACTCCTTTACACACAGACGCTTTTACACACAGACGCTTTTACACACAGAAGCTTTTACACACAGACTCCTTTACACACAGACCCTTTTACACACAGAAGCTTTTACACACAGTAAAATTGCAATTTTTTGTCAGTTTTTGACGTCCAACGTCCATTTCGTGCGTAAGGGTTGCGCGGGACTACTCAAAGTCGCAATTTTTCCTCCGTTTTTGACGTCCAACGTCCATTTCGTGCGTAAGGGTTGCGATTGACAACTCAAAGTCGCAATTTTTCCTCAGTTTTTGACGTCCAACGTCCATTTCGTGCGTAAGGGTTGCGATTGACAAAGTAAAGTCGCAATTTTTCCTCAGTTTTTGACGTCCAACGTCCATTTCGTGCGTAAGGGTTGCGATTGACAAAGTAAAGTCGCAATTTTTCCTCAGTTTTTGACGTCCAACGTCCATTTCGTGTGTAAGGGTTACGATTGACAACTCAAAGTCGCAATTTTTCCTCAGTTTTTGACGTCCAACGTCCATTTCGCGCGAAAGGGTTGCGCGCGACACCTCAAAGTTGCAATTTTTCCTCAGTTTTTGACGTCCAACGTCCATTTCGTGCGAAAAGGTTGCGCGCGACACCTCAAAGTTGCAATTTTTTTTCAGTTTTTGACGTCCAACGTGCATTTCGTGCGAAAGGGTTGCGCGGGACGCTTCAAAGTCGCAACTTTTCCTCAGTTTTTGGCGTCCAACGTCCATTTCGTGCGAAAGGGTTGTAATGGACAAAGTAAAATCGCAATTTTACCTCAGTTTTTGGCGTCCAACGTCCATTTCGTACGAAAGGGTTGCGTTTCGTGGCGCTCCGGCGGCACCGCCCCCGCCTTAAGAGAGAATAGAAGAAGAGCGAGAGGAGATCTGCAGATGTGAAGGTGTGAAGATCTAGATCTGCAGGTGTGAGGGTGTAAAGATCTAGATCTGCAGGTGTGAGGGTGTGAAGATCTAGATCTGCAGGTGTGCGGGTGTGAAGATCTAGATCTGCAGGTGTGCGGATGTGAAGATCTAGATCTGCAGGTGTGAGGGTGTGAAGATCTAGATCTGCAGATGTGAGGGTGTGAAGATCTAGATCTGCAGATGTGAGGGTGTGAAGATCTAGATCTGCAGATGTGAAGGTGTGAAGATCTAGATCGGCAGATGTGAGGGTGTGAAGATGTAGATCTGCAGATGTGAGGGTGTGAAGATCTAGATCTGCAGGTGTGAGGGTGTGAAGATCTAGATCTGCAGGTGTGAGGGTGTGAAGATCTAGATCTGCAGGTGTGAAGGTGTGAAGATCTAGATCTGCAGGTGCGAGGGTGTGAAGATCTAGATCTGCAGGTGCGAGGGTGTGAAGATCTAGATCTGCAGGTGTGAAGGTGTGAAGATCTAGATCTGCAGATGTGAGGGTGTGAAGATCTAGATCTGCAGATGTGAAGGTGTGAAGATCTAGATCTGCAGGTGTGAGGGTGTGAAGATCTAGATCAGCAGGTGTGAGGGTGTGAAGATCTAGATCAGCAGATGTGAAGGAGTGAAGATCTAGATCAGCAGATGTGAAGGAGTGAAGATCTAGATCTGCAGGTGTGAGGGTGTGAAGATCTAGATCAGCAGGTGTGAGGGTGAAGATCTAGTATAACGGCTGCTTTTTTACGAAGAACCCTTCGCAGGCGCTCTCGGGAAAAAGTTTTTGGGGTCTAACCCACTAGGGTATAAATCTAAATGGATAAAATCTAGGGGTTGTGAGGTTAGCATTCGGATGTTTTTGTTTCAGGATTCACCCTTCAAGGCCCATGGTGCCCCCAAACACGTTCATGGTTGCCCTACGCACGCTTACGGCCACCATAGATTAGGGCCTCTTGGATTTGAAATTCATTGCGCCATTGCGCCATTGACCTTGGGTAAAATCTAGCCATCCTCTTTGGTCAAATCAACCCTATTTCTAGTCCTCGCAGGGGGCGACCACCATTGGGGGATAAAGGATGGAGATAATCCGTTTAAAAACCAGCGTAAATTGGGAAAACTGAAGATTCATGCTTCCAATTTATGATCATAACTTGTAAACCCACACATTTGCCCAAGCGCCCTAGCTTCAGGACTGAACCCGATTCATTCACCATTTCGTGCATTGTCTCGTCCCAGGATTCAGGCTCATGTTGATGATGTCACCTTTATTGACCTGGGCGGTCAAATCACCAATCATGCCCTGAAACGGAGGGAGCAACAGAGGGTAAAACATGAAAGGTCACTGGGATTACTGACATCAACATCAAGGGCTGCAATCCGAAGACTTACCCTTAGTGCACGTGGAAAAGACGATTAACAGTTTAACATAAAAAAATGCAGCAGATATACCAACTTCAATACATGGGCAATGCTGTGGTCTGTGGCCTCTGCATGGCACGGGTGCAGGGCAATGTTTGGACTAAGCAGGCAACAACATGACCTTGAGCGCCAACAATCCCATGGTACAATAGTAGCCCATAATCCCAATCTTCCCATTAGCAGGAAGCTGGTTGTACCCAGAACCGATGTGCAATTTTGATGCCGCCTTTTTCCATGTGACTATGCAACCTCGGTTTTGGTTTTTTAGACCCCTCTGATTGGAAACACGAACCTGGATAGCCACCTGACCAAGCAGCATTGGCTCCATTTCAATGACATGGGTTGGTTTCAACCAACACCTTTGGCAGGTCATATAGATTGAAAATCAGCATTGAACGTCAACATGGATATTTCCAACAAGAAAACCATCATCTAAACTTCCAAAAATGATTCAAACAATGATATAGTTCTTAGGGTTTCATCTAAGATATAACAGCTATAAATTCTATAATCTCCCCCCTTACAGCAAAGAACCCACCGCCCTGAGTAGCCCAACGCTTCCTCGCAGGGCCATCAGTCCCTCGACTAACTCATCTAAAGACAAATGTCCGCCCATATCTGCCTGAAATATGTCATGGCTGGATATGATTGGTGAAATGATGGGTACAAATGGGGTTAGTTGATGTTATTTATTTTGGGTATAACAATGCATAACATCTAATCCAATAACCATGGTTGACTGAGTCCAAAATGACTATACCCAACACGTCCTGATGGGAGAACCAACAAGAGCTTGGACGCAACCAATAGAGATGGCAACACCCTTAGTGATTCCTTGTTGGTGTTGACAATTTCTGATAATTTCCGTAAGAGAAAGTATATATATAGATATGACTAACATGACGCAATACTTATTCATCCTTGAAACTTTTAGCGACCCACTTGAAAACATCTAGGTTTGGATGGGGCAGAAGATGATGGCAGAATCTTGTCCAGGCACTCACGGCCAATATCGACATCACCATGATACCCAATGCATCAAGGACCAAAATATCATGGTGACCAAGAAAAACAGAGTGTAAAGATGTGTAAAGGATATACGTAATTTTATATCCAGCAAGATTTAGAGACAGTTGCATCGAAAAGGAAAGGTGTCAGCGAAGACCCGCCCAACAGGCCGAGCGATTGAAGCAGTGACCCTGTGCGAGTTAGCTTAGCCTCAAACAAAGCAAAAAAAATGGAAAGGAATCCCGCACAAATTACCGGCAATCTCATCCAGGTAAAACACTATTAAAAAATGCTTTATCCATTGTCCTTTTGCAATCTTTCCTGCTTTAAGTCAGCAGAGGAGATATGTGTCTCCATGGCAACAAAGTAGTGCCCCGATACAAAGAAACTGTTTTCCACTTCCAACATGAAACTTTTCACCATGCTTCATCCATAAATTAAGAGGGGATCACATGATGATCAATGATCCTCCTTGTCCCCCAAATTTCTGCGAGGGACATCCATGATGTCAAACAGATGAGCTTTGTTTGACACGTCGATGTACGCATCTTCCAGCCTCACATACTTGGCGGGACAGACCATGGAGCAGTTGACGGATAGGGTCAAAACCAAAAAGAACTGACTTGAGATGGATAAAGTCAACCGGCGTCCCACAACAACTTGATTCAGCCGGTCAAAATGAGACTTTATGATGGGGTAGTGCGGATGACTTGGAAGATGTGCATGCGAACCACCATGTTCGCAAAAGGGACCCCGTTTCTTACTACAAATGGCCAGACCCACCCAAGACCCCAACTCTAAAAACTACACGTCCCCGCATGATCCTGCATGATTCTTTCTGGTGTTTTAGTGGGGCAGCTTTGGTGATCCACGTACAATGCCCACTTTTCAGTTGAAAACTAGTTTCAAGGATGTCTCGGAGCTTTTCGGACATCCGCACCAAAGTCCAGCATTTGACCAAGAGTGTTCATCGCTGAGTGGCGCTTCCGTGAACTCAGGATCCTGCGGGTTCATTTGCAGCAAGGGATTTGGGCTGCGGGTGACGAGATGGGGGTTTCTAGAACCGTCGCGCAATAATCCCCAACAGTTGGTGTAATTATATGCAACCTTACCGAACAATTGTCAAACAACCGTACCCAGACGTCAAGAGAAGGCTTTGGGGTTTTCTTGAACTGGGGTGTGCCAATCATGCAGCATAAATAAAGGTCCGTTCAAAAGGGAAATCCTTGGCTCGTGAACTCCTACCTTAAGAACACATGCATTTGTTAAGTGATTGTGTTTTGGTAATTCTGAGGTTGCCAGGTAGCATTAGGCACTCAAAAGGGACCGTGACGGAATACTGCTTACTACTTGAATTTCCTCTTGCACAAGTAGGATCGCAGCAACCTCTATTGCTTCCCCAACATCACTGCTTAGTGGAGCTGACCTGCAAAGCCGAATTTGACAATCTCAGCCAGCTGGACTATCTTTAAAACATAGAGAGAGTTAAATAGATATATGAATCATATATTTGAATATAGCTGAATAAATATATATATATCATATATACATGTGCTATGTATCATGTATCTACTTCATATTTACTACCTGTGTACTCTCACAACACTACATGTGTTTAACGTATACCGTACCTACCATACATTCCAACGATATCATGCATACCCTGCATACCATACGAACTTTGACCATACATACCATACCTATCATACCTATCATACATACCACAACACATACCATATATATGAAACATAATTACCACACCTACCATACATACAATACCAAACATACATGCCATACATACGATACCTACCTTACATAGCAAACATCCCATACCCATCATAGTAACCATACATACCATACAGACCATACATACTGTCATATCAAACATACCATACCCAATAGACTTACATACCATACCTACCATCTATACAATACCAACCATTCATGCCATACATACCATACCTACCAAACATACCATACATTCCAAACATGCCATACCAGACCGACCATACACACCATACATACCCAACATACCATACCACACCCCCACCACACGATGGAGGGAGGGGGACAGTACTATGGCTGACCCATCACCATGGCCGGGGGGGAGGCGGGTTGGAACGCTGGACCATATATATACATATATATATATATAAGTATGCGTATGCAGTGTTTTCCCAAACAGGACAGATAAAGTCTTTTAATTTAGTGCGGTTGACACCAGGACATGTGTAGTTGTTAAAAACTTATCATGACACAAACCAACATTGACCGATTGACCACCTATTTTTCCCCCAAGAAATGGTTGTCGTGTCATCGGAATTATCTTCCAACTTGGGTTGATCGGGGTCAGCAATTTCGGGACAAAGCCAGTTGTTTTTCTTCAAACTGCTGTGAGCCCTTTGGTGCTGTGATGGCTCACACATGTTCACACCTCTTGTGTAAACTACAGTTATTTGACCAACTGGAATAAAACAACTTCAATGCAATTTTTGGCACTTTGGAATGATTACCCAGTGAGCCAGCCCCTGACTTGTCCTGCAACCAGCGTTGAAAGGACTCGCGATGGATCACCACCTGCACCAGCAGAGTAGTAGTGAAACTGGGTAGTACATTGTTGGGGTTCACCCTGCAAGGATGTTTTCTTCGAGTTTCCTTGCCTGGACAGATCAAAGTACATGAATGTAAATGATGTTTCACCATAAAGGTTGTCAAGATCCATGACAACACATGACCCAACATCGGTACGATCACTTTCATGCAGAACGCGTTATTAAGGCCAAGGGCGTCTGATGTTTGCGGTCACTTTTTAGCCGTCACATAGATGTTGGAATCATCACCAAGGCCATCTGCTGGCAAGTCAGTCATCTGTGCAATAACCTGGTGGTTGCATTTGTTATGGGGTCATTTTCTGACTACGTAGGCCTTTAAAAACAAGTGGCTTTTCTCCACCTCAAAGTGGCCAAGTGTTGCCCCAATTGGAACCTCGTCTTTCAAGAGCTGCTCGTCCAAGATGCTGTGTTGCACATCCAAATCGCCTTAGATTGGCATCCTGTGTGAGCAGGGGCGGACAGCTCTGAGAAATTCCGTTCTACTTGTAAACTTAATATCTTTATAGGAGGTACCAGTATGCTACAACTGATAGAACTTCTGATTTCAAGCATCAATCTGATTGACCGGTTTGCAGACCATCCTGACTCCAGCACAAAAACACAACCAAATTTGGGAATTCCTGGCAAAGAGTAAGCGGGAACTGCCAAACAAATTGCCATGCCCAGAATTCAGACAATCTAAAATGTTCATGGCCTTCGTGATGATCACAAAACATCGAACAAAACTGTTATATATATATATATACATATTTGGCGAAACATGGGCAACAAAATCCATCTGCATGTCGCAGATTAACATTTTTCTCCTAAAGCTTCATTGCAGCCAATGCAAACATGAAAGCAGCAACCAAGTGGCCTGTGACAAAGGTCCGCCGAGACCGAACGTCTTTGCCCAAGAACCTGAAGTGGCCAGGGGTGGGTGCGAGGAGAGGCCCGTTGGAACGTCTTTTTGCAATATAAAAAATGAATGGCGCTCGACAGTGTCTTAAATCGACCACCCAATAACATAGTGTGCACATATATATATAATATGTATGTATATATATATATATGTCTGTATGTCTGTATGTCTGTATGTCTGTATGTCTGTATGTCTGTATGTCTGTATGTATGTATGTATGTATGTAAATGTATACATGTATGTATGTATGTATGTATGTATGTATGTATGTTTGTGTGTACGTCTGTATGTATGTATGTATGTATGCATGCATGTATGTATGTATGTATGTTTTTATGTATGTTTTTATGTATGTATGTATGTATGTATGTATGTTTGTGTGTATGTATGTATGTATGTACGTATGTATGTGTGTATGTATGTATGTATGTATGTATGTTTGTATGTATGTATGTATGTATGAATGTTTTTATGTATGTATGTATGTATGTATGTATGTATGTATGTATGTATGTATGTATGTGTGTATGTATGTATGTATGTATGTATGTATGCATGTAAATGTATATATATATATACATATTCATATTATAGAATGTAATATTGAGCCCGCCTGTTGCGTATCAAGGCAACAATGACGTGAAATGACCTGAATATGGACATCAACTGTTTTCTGACTGAAAACGATGCGATAGTAGCATAATTTTAGGGATAAGGGCAGGAATCCTAAAGGTGCCAAAAGGTTGCTGCTTGGCAGTCACAGCATGAAAAAATACCTACCAACCTTTACCAAGCCCTCCAAAATGTGCGGCTGCAAATTGTCCGAACATGTGGCCGGGTTCATTGGTCGTTCCGCCCAAAATTAGGAACGTAATTGGATGATGCCAGCGGCTACGAGGCATCATTAACAAAAATGCGGATATCCTTTTGTCGTGTTTAAGGCTGTCTGTTGCCCGTGGAGCGGACGTTGCCCGCGCCTCGCCACGTGCTCTTTGATCATGACCCTCACCTGTGGCGAGACCATTGCAGTGGTACCATTGCAGTGGTGGGGGGGCGTCTATCAGTAAGGAGTGGGGAATAACTTTACAAACATATGATAACATAGCTTTATCACTTGGTACTATACCAAGTCAGGGTCTCAGCGAATCAAACATGGACAATCATGAACGTATCCCACCCACCAGAATGTCTCAAGCAACAAAAAGCGTAGCGGTGATCAAATTCGCCACATCTCCACCGAACATCGGGGCTTTCATCAGACCTTTCACATTGGGCCCTGGCCTTTTCCGAGGAGTCCGCCAGTTCGCGATTGCGACGTTGCAACTGAGATCCAGTGACCTCAGGCATGGTGCCTGGTGGTCCATCTAAACATGGTGGACTAAGCATTTTGTGGATACAACATCAATCAACACCAAACCATGATAATTCTATGATATAACATGATATAGCCATCATGTGGAGTTACAGTAGCGAACGGAAAAATGGGAATGATTTTGGTGACCAAGACCCCTGTCACTTGAAGATCCAACCTGCACTACTGAATGCAAGTGTGATTTCTCGATATTTAGGCTTTTTGGTGTGAATTTGAGCTCTACCCGTGGATATCCCAGATGATTCACTTTTTGAGAATAGGGTTTCTCTCGCCAGCTTGGCAGGAGTGCCAAAAAGGTGAAAACTGTCCCAGATCCACAGGCTCCACTCATCGGTTGTAGGGGGCTCTCTCTCTGAGTAGCAGCACATTGTCGATGAAGATGGCCTGGGCAACTTGGAGTGGTAGCGGTATTGGAACAGGGGCAGATTTCGCCAGATTCATGTATATGTTGACAGGTGCTGAATACATCTGTTTCTCCATCATGCCCACATGACCGCGTTCCAAAATGATAAGGTGATGATGAGATGAGAGAACGGGAATCAGCAAAATCGGGCACCAACATGCAATGGCGGTCATCACAAACTTATCATAGGACTTGCAAGTGCACACACTCTGCCCTGCAAACTCACCAGCAAGGTCCATTCAAGGAGTGGTGCAAAGCATGATTTGGAGTCCTGCCCCGTCCAAGAGGGCTTGGACACACCCATATGTTGCGCCACTTTCATTCCCAAATACCTGCCAACTCTTGTTGGCATAAGTTTCTACATCCCCACTACTTATTGGCTGTAGCTCCCAGAATATTCCCCTAACTGTGGTGTAAGCTCTCTTTTTTTTTCAATCTTTTTTGTGAGTCATACAGTATCACACTCTCCGTAGCATCCAAACAGTGGGTTCAGTGACCTCTCAACTGGTTCCGGGTGGCCATGATCAGATTGAAGACGCCCACAGAGACAGTCATGATCATCAAGATATAACCTCAGGAAAGCAGGGATGGTGGTCCAGTCCCCAAGAATGGGGTTCTATCAAAGATTCTAACTGATCCAACAAGCACAGGTCTGATGGAATCAGAGTCAATGACAGGCACTCAACAAAATCAACTCGGATCATCAGCCATGGCCATGTCATACCAGCAACTGCCTTCAGGTGGATGATCTTCAGGGGTTTTCTCACGTTTTGTCCAAAGACTTCCCTGCGATAACCCAGCTGGAAGACACCAAGAAACTCACCATGAAGATGCCGCCTTGGTTCGATGGCGGTGATGGCGAGTCCGAAGTTTTAAAGCCCTGAAATTTATTTAGTATCAAACACTTACACGAAGACACGCCGAAGTGCAGTTTCCAATGAGAACAGACGAAGGGGAAGTAGCCTATCTTGTGATCGAGCCTGAAGGCACACACTCTCCGATGATCCGATGTGTCGAGTGGCAACTCCACGTGGCAAATTAGTCCCTACAATTTTTATTTGTATGTGCTGTATGCCTGCACAAATTGCCGCAAATTCTTTGGAATTGACATCTGTGCTTTAGGGGCACGCGCCGTCCCACAGACCACTCACCACGGTCACATGAGACTTGGAAAGTTGCCGAAATCTTTCGCTGCTGAGGTACCGTAAGTCTCTCCTCGGTGAAGGAAGCGTCTGACAGCTTACATCCTTACATCTTATGGTCAGATGATAGATCTCAGATGGTAAATATCATAGACATAACAGGCACATATACATACTGGTCAGAAGAGCATCCCGCAATGGGCTAGTTGTAAGTTTTCCCGCTTGCCAGGGCTTGAGTCTTTGAAACCACATTCACAGTACACGCCGAATCACATTGTCAAATCGTGGCATAGAACACCAAGGTATAAACGATGGATTTTCCTTTGATATTTGCGACCTGGGCACCTGAACATACCTGAACCATTGATACAAATCCTTAAATTTCCTGCGGCCATATTTGGGAAGAACAATCAACTCGCCACATATGTGAACCAACAATACTTACATTCTTTAAACTAGGTGCAAAATCTCCTGCAGTCAGAAATTCCAGATTCTTGACGCACCCTAAAAATTTTCTGCCGCCGGACATCCCAACCGTTTTTGGCCAAGGGACTCACACGTTCGGGAAAGGGTGTGCCATCGTAGGCAGCACAATCGTCTCTGAAGCACCTAAACCTAAGCCAACGATTGTCAGGTGGATGGTGCCCGTGGTGCCCTGAAATCTACAGATGCCACCAGTAATAGGTCATCAGTACTAACCTTGTTTAACAGAAAATGATCTGGGAAAATCATATAACATACATAAATTGAAAACTCTGGAAATATAACATTGCCAATTAAAAATCACCATCTGGACTGGCAAAACATCATCTGCAAATGGAGGATTTTCTAGTGCTC